TGTTTAAACATAACAATCCAAAATTTTTGCGTCTATGTGTGACAAAGTATGAAACATGGATCCATCACCTCTCTCCAGAATCAAAATGATCGTTATTTGAGTGGAGAGCAATTGTTGAGTCTCTTCCAAAGCACCCGAAAACACAACAATCTGCTGGAAAGGTTATGGCTTTGGTATTTTGGGATGTGCGTTGTGTAATATTCATCGACTATCTTGAGAAGAGAAATACCATCAATAGCGAATATTATATAGCGTGATTGGAGCGTTTGGAGGCCGAAATTGCAAAAAAACGACCGCATATGGCGAAGTCACAAGTCAATTGAAACAATGAAGAGGTTATTGCTGAAACTGAAGCTTATTTTGGCGCAAAAGATAAACCGACCTACAAAAGTGGTAGTGAAATGTTATAGCGGCACTGGAATGACTGTGTGGCTCTTGATGGAGGTTACATTAATGAATAAAGCCAGCTTCGAACAAAAAAACACGTTTATAATTAGCTCGCTTTCATTATCTTCACCTGTATGTATGTATGTATGTACAATACATACATACAAGAAATAAAGACAATCTGCTGATTCCACAATATAAATTAGCAAGTACTAGTCGCAATTATCTGAGAATGAGACTGTTTAATAAATTACCTATTGAATTGGAAGATACACACCTGAAAATATTAAAAAAGAAAATAAAGAGTATTCTGTTGAGGAAAGCCTACTACGAAGTAAATGATTTCGAATTGTCCTAAGTTGATTTGAATTAAAATTCCTGTTATTTATTTATTTCCACAAATGACAATTTAATTCTGTAGTTGAAATAACGATAAAAATAAAATAAAAACAACAATAAAAATTGATTGGCGCTCCGGGGCGACTTCATTGATTCCAGTGGCGCATTTGCTTTTTCAGCTGCAGGAAAACCCGGAAAAACCTGCAGCACCACATCATCTGAAGATCTTGATCCAACAATGTCCTCTCTCTTATAAAACAAAATGTAGGGTGTCTCCAGAGGCTCCAATAAATTCAATGTATCGCCAGAACACTTCGTGACACGACTATCATCAAACTTAAACCAGTCCGTTTCGTTTCTGGCCAAGGCGTAATAATGACCAAATTCAACGCCAGAACCACGTGTGAACCACCAGTGAACAATGACTGCATGAATATTATAATACTGGTCTGCTAGGTTGAAATGTTCATCTATTTCGAACCTTCCAAAGAGTTTCTTGCTTCCGTTAGAGGTTAAGTCTTGTTTGAAAATCATCAGTGTTATTATTAGATTGACTGGTGCCTCAGCTATACTTGTTTCCTTATAACAGTCAGTTAGTTTGGCGCATGTTTGACAATACCGTCGATCATCACCTGTTAAAAATTCCATTTTCAGATGATTTAACAATAAGCTTTGCACAAACTGGTTATTAGTCATATTAGGAAAAGCTAGATGAAGTTCCAGAAATTCACATAAGTTTTCGGTACCTCTTGAACATTTACCACAAAGTAAACCATTGAGGATTTTTTCAGCAAAAGATTTACAAACACAAGACGAGATGGGCTGTACGCAATCATTCAGTCCAGAGCGGTCAGGAGTATTGATTTTGCTTTTGTTTTGCTCACGAAGAGTATTCAACAAGAACCCCAAGAATTCGGAACAATCCCCTTGTTGTCCTAACGAGTATCTAGTGGACTTCAAAGACTCCAGGAAATCGGTTGGAGGGAAAGATGATACCTTCTTACGAAACTACAGCTGCATGAACAGGTGTTTGAGTTTGATGACTGAGTAGGAAACATTCCCGTTCTCGTTCATCATTAAAACTTCGTTCTTGAAATTCTTCGTCATGAACAACACTTGTAAAATGCTACTCAAGTAGCAAGTATTTCCTAAATTATCTAATCCAATTTTCTTCTCTAGATTTTCAGAACAACTATCTACTGATTTGTGAGGAAGAACATTTTTAACAGAATCTCCATAAGAACCATTTCTCAAGCTGCGATCGATCTTTCCAAGTGAAGAAGGGTTTCGTAGAGGGATCGATTCGGCTCTTGCTTCATGAAGCTCTTCCACTGAAAGGGAACCAGTTCTACGAGAACTGCAACTCATATTTGGGGGGCAAGAATGACCTGAGTCCACTGACCGCACTGAAAAAGAAGGAGGTGGATCAATCACTTGTGAATTAACCTTGATAGGAGACTGATGAATATCCACATATCTCGGCTTGTTTCGAAGAGGTTTCAGTTCCGTACTGACATTAGGGTAATGCATGATCTCATCAAAATTATGTGAAGGAGGAATAGTTCCAAGTACTGAAGCAGCATTGCCATTGCCATTGAATAGCAATACTAATTCTTTTCATTAAAAAAGAGGTGGAACGGTGATCTTTCGTTACTAGGCCTATTCTCCTTTCAAGTTCATGAACGAGTAACAGAGACTCCGGGCCATAAACACCAAAATTTTCAACCGCTACTGGATAAAATAGATAGTTGTTTCCAAGATTTTGGTATTTTTTTCTTTTCAATTTCTCGCCAGACAATTCTGCAGTTCCAGCAGACTTGGAACTTTCGGCTAGATGGGAAGCCGCGACCGTGTCAACGCAAGTGTTATTTATTCATTCTTTTGGTTAAATTTGTTTCAAATTATTACATAATACTCCTTACTCTTATTTATAAATATGATTCACAGATTTGTTAATAATCTATATGGACCTCAATATGTTTATGTTTCACTTTTAAATTTTGTTTCATATGTCATGTGTTAGTAATTATGTTGTAATTTCACGTTGTAAATAATTTATAATTCACAATTTTATATATGTTATATACGTGTATTTTATGTTACTTGCCCAGACACCATGGTGTACTTGTGATCAATAATTAAATAAAAAATAAATAAAAAATATCTATGTATGTATGTTTGTTTGTTTGTTTGCTTGTAACTCCCAAGCTCGAGATCTGTATTTGATAGGATTATCGACATTATTGCTTGATCTATTCGCGAGCAAATGGCGCTGTACGTAACCTCCTTGATATAATTCGAACTCACTTTACATGTATTTCTTCATTTGTTAGAAATCACACTTTGGAAAGTAAGACCTCATTAATCCTTAGCTCGCACAGGTTTCGACTTCTGAGGGTTGTCGTCCGCAGGGGTGCGACAGCTGGTTAACAGAAAAACAGATTTTTAAACAGATTTGTAACCCTCCTTTGCGCGCCTGCTGTCTTGGGCTTGTTAGCTGAGTTTCAGACTCCCTCTCTGGAATCGGAAAATATCAATGGTCACTTTTCTAAACAATATTGATCCCAAAGTGTAGATAAAATAAATATAGTTTGAAAATACCAAAAAACAAGCTTTTATAGCATACGAAAGTGAAACATTAAAAATGAATATAGTTTAAAAAACTAAAAAACACGATTTTAAAGAACACCGAACTAGAAAGTTGAAAATAATTTTTTTTTCAAATAAGCTTGAAATAATAACGAACGAAAAATACTAGTATTATTTTGGGAAAAGTGTGCAGGCTTTGTGCCATATTTTTTGTATATCAAGCGTACGTCGTTTTTTTCATAATAATACTAGTATTTTTCGTTCGTTATTGTTTTAAGTTTATTGACAAAAAAATAAATTTTAACTTTTTAGTTCGATGTTCCTTGAAAGCTTATTTTTTTAGTTTTTTTTAACTATATTTATTTTTCTCAGTCATGGGCCTATTTAACCCATATGTATTCCATAATTTCCCAAGTGTTTGGAAATTCCAGATCAGTTCATACCTTTAATGATCTTAGATACTATACAGGGTGTAACTGAATAAGTGTAAAACATTTGAGGAGGTGATTCCTCATCGAAAAAAAGATAGGATCTCTCATATAAAGGAACTTCATTAAAGCATCCCTTTTCCGATAGCCTGTTTCATTCTAAACAAAAAATGCCTCTCAAATATTCCTGGAGTCTCTCTGATCACCCTGCACGCATCGATGATGCGGTTTCTTAAGGAGTACGATAAACCAAATGCTGTAAATGGCCCCAAATAGAGAAATCCAGAGGATTGAGATCCGGAGATCGAGCAAGCCAGTTCTGTGGTCCTCCTCGACCTATCCACTGATTTGCATATGTTTCAGTTAAATGCTGAAGTGCTACTTGACTAAAATGCGAGGGAGCCCCATCATGCATGAAAAACATATCCCTTCTGATGCCCAAAGGAACTTCCTCCAGCAGTACTGGATGCATGTTTCTCAAAAATTGAACGTATGCCTCAGCATTTAATCGAGGAGGTAGAAAATGAGGCCCAAATAAATTATCTCCAACAACTCCGAGCCATACGTTAAGAGAAAACTGTTCTTGATGGTTAGTTTCGACAATAGCGTGAGGGTTTTCATCAGTCCATATGTGGTAATTATGAAAATTAATAATCTTTTCCCGAAAAAAAAAAATACATTGGTCTGTGAATTCTATCGTCTTCAGAAAGTCACAATTTCTTCTAATCATTTTCAGCATCCAATTGCAAAATTCAAGACGGTTCGGAAAGTCTCGGGGTAACAGTGCCTGTACTCGTTGCAAATGGTAAGGGTATGAGAGTTGTTCCTTTAAAATTCGAAATACCGTCATATGATTAACATTTAGCTGGAAAGCTATCTTTCTAGTACTGGTAGTAGGTTGTTCTTCAATCAAATTAAGTACTGCTTCCTCAAGCTGTGGTGTTCGTACTTCTTGATGGCGACCACAATCCTGCGTTCTTTTGTCGAACCATGGAGTAAACCAAATAAATTTCTGGCTGAGTGTCTTTCCGGTAGTACAAAACGTCAGGTCAATTTCTATATTGTAACTTTTTTAGTGCTTGTGAAAAAAATTGTTATACACATTTTATGTACCCCCTTTAAGGGGCTGTATCTTAACAAGGGATGCTCCAATGAAATTTCTTTATATGAAAGATCCCACTTTTTTTCCGATGAGGAATCACCTCCTCAAATGTTTTTCACTTATTCAGTTACACCTTGTATAAGAGAAACATTGAGTTAACTTAATACATTTTATTCTCAGGAAATAAATAATATTCATAAAACAATTTTCGAAGTTTTCACCATTGGTAGGCTGCATTGAGACCAGAGTAGGAAGCATGAGCTACTACTGGAGCGGCGGAGTAAGCTGAAACTACTGAAGGGTGAGCAGCGTAGGCAGATACTACTGGAGCCACAGATTTGGACAGCACAGGAGAGGAGTATGCTGACACGAATGGAGAAGAGTAAGCAGATACAAATGGAGATGGGTGCGCAGAGTAGCTCGACACTAATGGTGCAATAGCCTTAGATATGACAGGAGCCGCGTATGATGATACAACTGGTGATCCATGGCTGGTGTAAGTGCTAACTACTGATTTTGATACAGGGGCAGCATATGCTGACAAGACTGGAGATGAATAGGCTGATACCACTGGTGCTACAGACTTAGTGATGACAGGTGCTGAGTATGCAGATACAACTGGAGCATGGGCAGCATATGTTGAGAGAACTGGGGATCCGTGGCTGGTGTATGTGCTCACTACTGATTTTGATAGAGGAGCAGCATATGCTGATAAGGCTGGAGATGAGTAGGCTGATACCACAGGTGCTGAGTATGTAGATACAACTGGGGCATGGGCAGCATATGTTGAGAGAACTGGGGATCCATGGCTGGTGTATGTGCTCACTACTGATTTAGATAGTGGAGCAGCGTATGCTGACAAGACTGGTGCGGTAGCATAACTGGCTGCCGCCGGGGAAGCAACGAATCCAGCGTTAGCATATGCCAAAGCAGCGACAAAGATAATGAACTGAAAAAGTAAACAAAGGATGGAAAATACTCTATCTGTAAAGCCTAAATTTAAGTTAGTTGATTGGCAGTTTTTTTCTGACATACATCATATAAATTTTCATCAAGAACATATCGTCGGCAGTGAACTTTACAGTGTAGAAGGTTTTTCTGGGATATAAATAGTTGGCCTGAATTTTTTTATAAAATTTGAATTATCAGTGTTTGTAGCGATTCAATTCCGTACTTGTATGATGTAAATGATTTATTGAAGCGTATGGAATGAAAGCATACTGAATGAATGCAAAAATAATAATGAGTATGACATTTTTTAAGGAACGGAGCCATCAAAATGGAGAACAGATAATTTTTTCAATTTTCGAAAGTATGGTCAGAATTTTTGTGAATTTTTTATATATGAAATATTTAAAGGTATTGGATTCATAACATATGTTATTCAATAACTGAGTTTGAAAGTGAATGAATCCAATAGAATATTTCTTGATCAGAATGGATACATTAGTTTTATGATGACGTTCTCAAAAATTTTTTTTTTTGACACCAGTTTATACAACTGATAGTCATGAAGACAAATGATTCACGAACTAATTTGTTGAAATGTACTCGGTACTCACTTTTGATGCCATTGTAGTAGATCGTACTTTAGTTGGTCAGAAACTGATACAAATCAAGACATTTCGGTTGTTTTTATATTGCTGTGTCGATTCTTCCACCAACCACGAATTCTGTTACACTTTCGGTTTCTTTGAAGGTCTAGGTTGCGTTCTTCACATCACGTCGGTAATCCAACAAATCTTGTGCATGTCTGATTACATCAGTGACATTGTAATGCGGAAATAGACCTACTTTATGATGAAAAAACAATCGTTCATTTGTGTATTTACGTATAGTTAGATTAACTTCAACAATAACCTGATGTGTATTACATTAGTGAATTCATGAGAATGAAGTAGTTTTATAATGATTTTCTAATAAAAACTCCTTCTAAATTCTCAATATGAATTTATAGCTAATCAATGTATAGATACAAAAGTAATAATCGTTACACGCGAACAATTGTGCTCTGCAATAGTATATCATGAACTTTTATAAAAGAGGATATACTCGTAATTGCACGAGTGTTACAATATCTCATTATGAAATAATTTCATCTGCTATTTTATTGCCGAGTAGAATAATTTCAATCGAAAGAAGGAATGTTTTTCAAGAGAGATACGTTTTTGATAAGCTTTTTGGCTTTCGTCTGGGTACTTCTCCATCTTCATACAGAAAAATATGGGAAACTTTTTAGGAAATAGAATCACTGGAATAGAATCTGGAACAGTAAAGTACCTACTCCAACTATCCATGAGGGAATTTAAACAGATATCATTCTTAGGAACGCTACACAACGTAATATAGGGAGAGTATCAATTCAGAAACTTTTCTCAATTGAAAAAAACAGTCGAAATTCTGGTGAACTTCAAAGTTCTGCTGTTGTCACAGTTCGTGTAAACCTGGATGGGCTTTTTTTCAGTTTCTATATGAAAGAAACTCCTGTGAATATTCTACAAATTTTTGTAAATATTTTTCATGGAACTGAATTACTTTCTCCTTTCTTCTGAAGTTTCCTTTTTTTGAAAAGAATGGAGAAGTCTATTTTCTATAGTACCTCATGGATTTCATGACCATAGTTCTCGAAAAATTCTTAGAAAGCAACGGTTACGATTATATTTATGAGCATGCCATCTATGTGGTTGATAGAAAATTGAAACTTCATAAACATAAACAAGAGTCTCAATCATTGTTTACTACAATAACAAGCTTCAATGTTGATAGCCGATTTCTATCTATCTGCAGCATTCTCTGCAAACTGGCCGCTAAATAATACCAAATATGATCTAATGCCAAATAGCGCTTTTCCGATCTCCTGTGAATCATATCAACATTACACAATCAATTCATAAATTAGTTACAGAGGTGTTCAGTTATTTCTTTCATCACTAAGTAATATGATGGAATTGGTTATGAAACCTGTAATTATTCTGAGCTCCTATCCATGCTCCTATTCCTGCTATGTTTTTCAGTTCTTTTTTCAGATGGCACCGTTATGGAAGTTGTTCCATATGTATTTTCATGATAAGAACAGTCCTGATATCATTGGTCTGCTCATTTTGTTGGGGTAACAAATTGATACTTGTTGAGATCATCTTGAAAAATCGGTTGTATTCTTATTTCGAAAGTCACTTCTATTTTAGCGAGTCCCAATACGGTTTTCGTAAAAATAGCTCCACTACTCAAGCTTATCAAGTCGTGACGAACATAGTCGAAGGTCTTGATCAGGGTAAACATAATTGTCTAACACTATGTGACTTGATCAAAACTATCGAATGTGTTTCCCACTCTATCCTCATTGAAAAATTGAGTTATTGTCATAAGAAGCACTGCTCTTAATCTGGTAGGGCTTTATCTTCAAAGTAGGTATCAGTGCATCGATGTCAACAATATCAAGTCAGATTTGAAGACAATTTGTCATGGCGTTCCTCAGGGTTCTGTTCTCGGCCCGTTATTATTCATCATTTATATAAATGACTTATGTAGCGACTTATGTAGCGACACAATCCTCATATGCTCAGACAAATCACATACCAGTTTACCTCAAATGATGGACAGAAATAAAACTCAGCCAAAAGTTGGTTGGCAGCCAATAAACTGAAACTGAACGATAAAAAATCCCAGAATATTGTGATATCCTCAAACATCAGTGATTAGATTCTAGGTATTCATATTGATGCTAGACTCAATTGGTCCAGCCATATTGAAGCAACTACACGTAAGCTGTCTAGTGTTTTATTTGTTCTTAGACAGTTGAGAAATGTAGGTTTGATGACACTGAAGATAGCATATCATTCACTACTTCACGCAGTTATTTCATATTGAGTCTTAATTTGGGGGCATTCCATGAACTCAAATGACAATTTTCAGATGTCGGAAAAAAGCCATGAGAATTATGGCAAACGTAGGATATAGGAAACACTGTCGTCCTCTTTTTATTCGATTTGAAATCATGCTTTTTCCTACACAATTAACACTGAACTGTACAACAACTTTTTTCTCAAAATGTTATTTGCCACTCCTAAACCATCGTACATTTTGTGCCTATTCAGTTCACAACCTTCCGTATCGATATGTTTCCTTTTATCTGACTAAGAAAATTTAAAGTAATTTTCATGTTTCGGATGTTGTAAATAGCCTTCCGTGAGAAGGTCTAGATCACCTCTCGTTCCCTTTGAGATTATATTAAAACCAAATATTACATGATGGAAATGAATATCAAGTTCACATGACTATTTGAGCACCTGTGTCATCAAGAAAAAATAATTACTCATATGTGTCCTCAATGCAACTGTAATTTTCATCAGATTTTTCAGCAACTGGTTTCATCTCAGGAGATATTCGATCAAAAACCAGTACAAATGTATCATTAAACGAATGCAAGTCGCTTACATTCGTCACTTAGGATGACTGAATTTTTCATAAACATTTTTTACAGTTCATTTGACAGACTTCAATCAAATTCTTCATTTGTTAAAGAACTGTTTTCTTAAAACACGATACTTCAGTAATGAACTGAATTTCTGACGCAAATTATTGTAATTTTCTCCTCATCATCAGATTATTCTGATTTTCATCAAGAACATATCGTCGGCAGTGAACTTTTCAGTGTATATGGTTTTTCGGGGATAAAAATGACTGGCCGAATTTTTTTTATAAGACTCGAATCATCAGTGTTGTTTCAATTCCGTACTTGTATAATGTAAATGATTCATTGAAGCGTTTGGAATGAAAATAGACTGGAATTAGATTCTTAGATTTTTACACACTTCAATCAAGAGGAAGATTAAACTAAAATTAATTTTACATGTTTCCTTATCAATTAGTCTTGAAATAATTTTACAGTATTGCCTGAACTAGCTGTCGGATAAATCTGATAATAAATTATTATATATAGCTATATAGTATAATTACCTAATATAGATGTCATTATATATAATTACAGATATTAATTATCTGGAGGCAATTATTGAGGTAGATTTTAATGCTGAATCCACACAATGGGGCATGAATTTCACCGATGCAAGAGGAGACAAAATGACAGAATGGGTAGCGGATACGGACCAGGTTATCATAAACCAAGGAGATAAACCTACCTTTGCCTATAGCAGTTATGGTTCTATATTAGATCTCACAATCTCCACAGAAAAAATTCGACCGTTCATAACCTCATGGAATGTGCTGGATGAAGAGTCTCTCAGTGACCATAATACATACTGTTTGAAGTCGTGAAAGGGTTATGCCAAGAACCAGAAAAGGAATCTGCAAGAAACCTGTCTACTGGTGGAATCACGAAATTGCTAGCCTTCGAAAAGACTGCCTCAAGAAGTGAAGAGAATACTCGAGAAACTCTAGAACAACCTCAATAGCGGCAATTCTGTGGGAATCCTACAAAGAAAGTAAATGGTGTCTCAGGAATAGAATTAAGAAAGCAAAATAGGATTGCTGGATAACATCACGTGACTACATTGATAGAGATATCTGGGGTGACGGATATAAAATTGCAATGAGGGGAATAGTGGGGTTTCCTTCCCAAATAACTCTCACAATGAATACAAAGGAGAAGGTGACCAATCACCTCTTTCCAACTCATGAGGGGGTAACATTCATTTGCGACAACAGTGGTAGACTTCCACAATTCACAGTCGAAGAGGCAAAAGCTGCCGGCTGAAAATTAAGAAATAATGAATCTCCTGGACCAGGAGGAATAACATCAGAAGTAATGAAGATGTTAATCGTTGAAAAACCCGAGTACGTGATTAGAGTCTACAATAATCTAGCAGATCATGCAAATTTTCCCGTAAAGTGAAAAAAAGCTAGGCTCACTCTGATAAGGAAAGGTGACGAACCAATTGAAAATCCTTCTTCCTATAGAACAATTTGCCTACTGGATGTAGTAGGCAAGTTCTATGAACATTTGCTGCTCTAGCGCATCAACGGAGAACTGGAACGAACCGGGAGACTATCAGAGAATCAATAAAGTTTCCGAAAGCAACAGCAAACCACGGACGTAGTTGATTCTGAACAAACTGAGGAACAAAGGGATATCGGCGAGCCTAGTAGGTATTATCTTCTCATACTTGTCGGAAAGGGAGGTAATACTGGAGAGTGAAGGAAGTGTCAAATCTATTAAAATAAATAGTGGTGTAACCCAGGGATCGGTGCTGGGCCCCACTCTATGGAACATTCTATATGACGACTTTCTGAAATCGGAAATGCCTGACGGAATAAAACTTATCGGTTTTGCGGATGCTGCTGCTGCGATAGTCACAGCAAAAACAGTGAATTTCATCAGTTCGGACTTTCATAGTCTAAAATAATATAAATTGGTTTGAAATCCCTGAGAAGATTAACCGAAAATAACAATTTTATTAAAACAAAAAACTGAAATTACAAGGAAATAACATACAAGCTACAACCAGAAAATGAAAAATTCATACCTAGTTCCTTGAGAATCTTTTCATAGTTCTTCTTATATTGATGGAATGGCACTGAAATATATTTGTCTAGGTTTTCGATTTTTCTAAAGGTCGAGATTTCGTTCATTATTAACCTAAACTTTTTCTTTCTTACAA